CATACATTTAATTAGCAATTCATCCATACTTTCCATATATGTATTCTATTCATACAAATATTTAGGTAATATATTTAATCATTTGACAATTCATCCATGCCCACACTTTAACCATGAATTAACTTTAAAATTAACAATACGCTAAATCATACATAGCCATCACATGCATATTATACGCATATCATTAATTTAACAACCAACCTATTAAGATATGCCAAATAAGAATGATAATATTAATCATCTTAAATGATTTATATATATATATACCTACACATATGTTATTTAATGTATATATGTGTTGGCGGGTGTGCCGTGGGCGGGTGCGAGAGACACTGTCAGGCTACCACACTGGCGAGCTACGGGTGCACAGTCCCACATCGCCTGGGTAGAGGAAAGGCGAGCTACGGGTGCACAGTCCCACATCGCCTGGGTAGAGGAAAGGTGAAGTACTTATATGTAAGTGTGTCACCTCCAATTGGTATGAGGCCTTTTGGGGTGAAGCCCAAGAGCAAAAACCGTGCGGGCTCAGGCCCAAAGCGGACAATATCATACCATATGGTGGAGTGGGTCGTTACAAATGGTATCAGAGCCTGACCCAGCCGGAAGTGTGCCGACGGGGACGTCGGGCCTCCAAGGGGGGTGGATTGTGATGACCCTGTGGGCGGGTGTGCCGTGGGCGGGTGCGAGAGACACTGTCAGGCTACCACACTGGCGAGCTACGGGTGCACAGTCCCACATCGCCTGGGTAGAGGAAAGGCGAGCTACGGGTGCACAGTCCCACATCGCCTGGGTAGAGGAAAGGTGAAGTACTTATATGTAAGTGTGTCACCTCCAATTGGTATGAGGCCTTTTGGGGTGAAGCCCAAGAGCAAAAACCGTGCGGGCTCAGGCCCAAAGCGGACAATATCATACCATATGGTGGAGTGGGTCGTTACAAGGACAGTCTCACTTTCATCTGATTACGTAGGACTTCTCTCGATGTTTCTAGCATTATCTATTTTCAGTTTTCAATTTCAGTTGAACTTTTGGTTAGGGGTCCATCAGTGGATTCCCAAGTTGTAACCTTGAAGTTTTAGAGGATTGGAGTTTAAATTTTCAGTTACACATGGAGGATTTTTATTATTATTTCTTTCAGCTTTATTTTATCTTTATTGTTTCTTTTTGTCATCTGTGTTCGTTTTAAAATACTTTAATTGTTTGATATTCCCTCGGGTTTGGGCCTGGGCCTAATCAACCCGTGTCTCGGATCCGAGGGGTATCACACACTGTAACATCACTAACCAGGGCTAACACCTCTTAAGTTCTAAATTTATTACTTGAGGGAGTAAAATTGAAGTATACAAAGTTAAAATTCTTAATAAGTGACATGAATGTGACAAGTTGTGATGACCCAATGTAAACTTTATCCAAATGGAATACTTCAACAAAAACAACAAACAAATAATATGGACTAATTAAGATTAATAATAATAAGTAATTCGAAAGTTGAATGTACATGATGTTTTATGTGAGTAAGAAGTGACGTTACCACGACGTCATCTTTTATTAAAATAATTTAGTTGGATGTGTTCGCTCTCGAATTCTATATCATTACTCATTAGTTTTGAAGTATGTTCATTAGAATAATGATACATCTTTTAAATTCAGAACATGTATCATACGATACGATGAGACCCATACTCATCTCACATCATTTTCGAAATTTATGAGAATGAAAATATATATAATTTTTGAATTCTATATCATTACTCATTAATAATAATGAGGTTCGAACCACCGACCTCCCTTTCGGAAGGAAAGGGCAATACCGTTGCGCCAATTAGCCCTTTGTTATATATAAAAAAATTCCAAACAAATATCATGCAATGTATCCAAAGCACATGTTGCCTTTAATATTATTTGAATTAAGCATGGGCATGATGTATTCCATTTGCCTTTTTATCAGCAAAGAGTTATTAAAAAGTCTTGTATGAGTAAAACTAGAGAATAAAAAATAAAAAAATTCTCTTGAACCATCAATTTTTTGCAACAAAATCTCTCGAACTATATTTTGAATCAGAAAATTCATCGTCTGTCACAGAACCGTTAAGTTCCTGCAAAATGACAAGAATACCCTTGATAGTATATTAATATTTATTTAAATATATTTACAGTAATTAGATATATAATTATAGTAATTATATATAATTATAGTAATTATATATAATTATAGTAATTATTAATTATAATTATAATTATAATTATAGTAATTATATTTATATAATTACTATAATTATAGTAATTACTAGTATATAGGAATTATATATACATATATATACACACACATATAGCAACATATCCTCCTTGCCTGCAAACGAAAAAGCCAATTGACTAATAGCACACCAGCGGCATGACAGAGGATAATTGCCCTAGGGTTTCTTGAACGGAATAGGCCACTGGGATTGAACTGGATTTATTGACGATGGTGTCGATGAGCAAAAGGTTCCTAAGAATGTGCTATCCCTTTGATTTGTGGAAGGGTATGCCTCCCTGATAGTGTGGGTTTGACGGAGCCGACCCTCCACGGCGGGACTTCTTCTTCTTGATCTTACCACTCGCCATTGATGAACCAAACACTGAAGAAGAGCTGAGGATTTGGGGAAGCAAGAGAAGCTAGTATTTTTTTGTTTGTTTGTTTAAGCCGCTAGGGTTTACTGTGGCAAACGCCCCATCTAACTTCTGAGTTCTGACTTTAACCTAAAAATGAACAAATAAAATAATAATAATAATAATAATAATTCACCTCTCTTATTTCCATTTATTCGTGAAATTTTTTTCCAACATATCAATCTGTTGGGTCTTTGTTTCATCAGGAAAAAGAGTGCATCAGACTTGTTTGGATTCACATGAAACACGCCGGAAAACATGGAGTGACGTTGTTGAAGAGATGAGAGATTCTTTAGACTTAAGTAGGGCAATTTAGTCATTTAGTGGTTAAAAAGGGTAGTATGGTCATATTCAAATGAAATATTATGGCATGTGACCATCGTGTGATCTGATCGGTTAGTTTTTGACGAAAAATTAACGTGAGGGGTCATTATGATAGACTTTTTAAAACATTGAGGAATTTTATAGTAGTTTTTGTATTTGAGGGGGTTAGTAGATAGTTTTTGTAAATAAGAAGGGGGTTTTCAGATTTTAACCCCTTTTTTTATATGAAACTATTAAAGCACTCCTTGTGATATAAGTAGTACATGACAAATAAAATAAACAACATGTAATATTAAATAAAAAACACAAATTAATTATTTCCATTCAATGTGACATTGTTTTATTTGGATTAATTAATTATTATGAAAAAAAAATTACCATTTTTGAAAAAGAATATTATCATAATAAAATGAGAGTTGTTTATTTTATTTATTTTTTCAAGAGTAAACGGTACTAAACTCTCTGAAATATCAATTGAAGTAAGCAAAACCCCTGGACTATTAAGAGAAAACTGAAGTTTCCATTTAGCCCTTACTTGTTTTTTTTTTTCGGTAAAGTACATTGACACCTTCTGAGGTTTGGGGAAAGGACAAGTAGAGGAAAGTTAGCCTGTTTTTGGACAATGACACCCTTTTAAGTTTGAAAAATGGACAAAGAGACCCTGAAGATCGTGAATTGACCTTATTACCCTTTCAAATAAAATTAACATTTTAATTGACTTAAATATCCTTTGATTAAACCCAAACCCGAAACCAAACCCTAACCCGAACCCGCCTGTGTATGTTATACAGTTTACCAGAGGAGAGAAAAGGGAGATCAGATGGATGGTGGTTGTGGCCGCGGTGGTGGGGTAGAAAGAGGGGGAAGAGAGGGGCGACCATAGTTGAAGAGATGAGGTGAAGAGGAGAGAGAGGAAGAAGATATGAGAGATATTGTGGTGATGGTTGCGACAATGGGGGTGGCGGCGATGACTGCAACAGTGGCGGCGAAACCCAGAAGTATCAGCGAAACCCTAAAATTGCCGACAAGGACCAAACTCCGATGAAGATATGGCCACGGACTGAACAGTGTGGCGAATTTTAGAAACCGAGCAACAAGATACTGACGAGCAGAAACAATCCGGCGAGGACCAAGCTCCGATGACGACAAGGTTCAGATGAGCACAGTCCGGTGACCGTCACCTGCAAGGGCGAGGAGGCTGAAGTGGCCATCGCTTCTGCCGTCCGTTTTGAGTCCAATTAGAGCCATTTCCGTGCAAAGATGAGAATTGGGGATGGTGATGTGCACAGATGAGGGGGTGATATATATGTGTGTGTGTGTGTGTGTGCGCGTGTGTATAGAGAGAGAGGGGAAGAGGGTAGTGGTGGTGGCGGCACCGATCTCATCCTTAAATCTTCCCTGCAGGCTCAAACATCAACTCTCTACCGTTGTCAAGAATCAAAGACGCCTGCGTGGGGAACGTCTCTGTCAATCCCGGTCAAACCCGGCTTGTCCGAGGCCGAGTTCGCCGCCCGAACCGAGGCTGAGCTCAGGCGAGGTCGAAGAGGTGGCAATGGCAAAGCTCTTTTTCGGCGTCTTCTTTTGTGGGTGGTGATTATGGAGGTTGGGGGTTGGTGGAGATTGGGGCGGTGGTGACTGGTTGTTGGTGTTTGTATATATATATATATATATATATATATATATGAAAAAGGGTATTTTGACCATTTAAGTTTTAAATATTTTATAATTAAAATTAATAAAATAGTGAAGGGTAAAGTGGACTTTTCACTTGATTTAAGGCTCTGTTTGGAGGGCAAATTTCACAAGGGGGTGTGTTTGTCCAAAAACAAGCCAACTTTCCTCTGCCTGTCCTTTCCTCAAACATCAGGGGTGTCTTTGTACTTTACCCTATTTTTTTTTACATGCTGATGTGGCAATATATTCTCTCTAGCCAATAAAGAAGCGACACCTGGCCACCTATCTAATCAAGAGGGCGCCAAACAATGACCCAACAACAATTTCCGCAGCCAAACATGTCCTAGTAATGTCTAGAACCAAACAGCTCCCATCCCAATCATAATCAAGTGTAAACGAAACCCTAGTATTCTTTGCTCGGGTCGAAAAACCTCACCTACCGGACCTTCCTCATATAGATCCTGCCATCAACAACCACTGCCTCGTCCCACGACCTCGTCACCTTCATCGAAACTATTTCCGTCCATGTTTGCTAATACAATCTCTTCGAAATCCTTTTAAAAAAGATTTGATTCAAGCCGGCGTCCTTGGCACGGGCATTAGAGCAGTGTTGCAGTGAACTAGGGTTTACCAAACGGCCAAAATGTCATCGGGCAGGCCGACGACCGTTGCGGAAGGAGACTTGCAGCTAGTTGTGCAGCTGGAGAGGGCCGAGAGGCGGTCTCTTGCCCTCCCACCACGGCCCCCGGCGGCGGCGGCGGCTGGATCGAACGCACTCGTCGAGTACGTTCCTCCTGCTAATCCGGAAGACGAGGACCTCGAGGTCAAGCTTCGCCGCATCATCGATCATGTCCCCGTCCGTGTCAGCAATACCTCCGGCAGCTCCGCCGGTTCCGGGTCCGGCGATTTTCATCAGGTATTGTATAAATATTCTGTTGGCTTAAATCCCTAGATTGAAGGTTTTCACCATACTGTTCAAGTTGTACCTACGTACATATGTATGATGTATGTGTTGAGGGTTTAATTGAGTATCTTACTTATAAATTGATTTTTTTTTTTTTTTTTTTTGAGTATGTTAGGGGTGGTTATCTTTTCAAAATTGTGTTTTTTTTTTTTGACTCTTTTGTTCCTTTCAGAGTCTTACGCGTTCAAGTGGAAGGAACATAGTGTGAATTTGCATTTTTTTTTTTGCTGTCAATTTGCTTTTCTTATTTTCTGTCTAGGTGACCATAAGAAATAGAACACTGAAGAAAAACGATAGCCCATGTCTACAAATTGAATTAGATTTGGGTATAAAACCTAGCTTTTGGTTGTGATTGTGAGGAGTGTGTTCATTTGTGATTGGAAGTAGGTTTTTGTTTTAGGAATGGTAGAATATTGAGATAAAGCTCTGGGAGATCAGAGATATTTTCTACATGATAGACTAAACTGCGATGCCTAACGGGGACGAAGGGATACACCTTCAAATGGGCTGCCACATAAGGGGCATTTTAAATCAGCTTTTATGACAAAAATTATTTTCTGATAGAATACTGCTTATGGATTGTGGAATTTAGTGCAATTCCTAGATAATGTTCTAGATTCCTGCTTCAGAATATCATGGACAAGCCATCGATTTGATCTGCTTATGAACTAATATTGTGAAAGTGGTGGTCATAACATAAAATATTAAAATTTTTTGGTCTCAAGAACAATGATTATTGTTGTTTTTGAGTATATTCAATTGTGTAGTTCTTTAAATGATAAACTAATTATTTTTAAATCTCATTATTTATTATGTTTTGTGAATTTTTCATTGTTAGGTTGATGAAAGATAATATTTTTAAATCTCATTATTTATGCTGGATATTACTCTTAGTTATTATGATTTGCCGTGTCGACGTGTCCGTTTCCCATATCCACATCCATGCTTCTTATATAGGAAGGAATCTAAAATCTATTGGTTTAAACAATTGTCGTTCGGAAAAAAAATTATTGTACTGGTTATGTCAAGATCCCACCAAAAACTTGCTGTAGAGAAGTGAAATCTTTGACGACATTTGATGGTCGCTAGACAAATGAAAGTGTGAAGTGGAATGTAAAATTAAATGTTGGACGGTATTTGCTGCTAAGTATTTAGGTCACTGGAGGAATTGTGTGGTTGCTTAAATTGAAATAAGACAATATAAGAAATTTGTGTAGATATGTTATTATGTGGATGGTGTATCTAATATAGGATACAACCACCACCTTTTTCCCAACTACTTGGGCTCGGCTACATAAATCCTATTTTTCTATTTCGCTTTATCTATGGCCGTAGCCTCAGTCAAACAACATGTTTCTCATATCCTTCCTTACTAACTCTACTCACATTAACTTGAGTCTTCCTCTTTCCCTAGTATTACCTTCAATCCAATCTAGTATATTGGATATGTAAATAATTAAACAAGGTTCTAGATCCTTCGGGCTGAACATGGAAGTCTTGACATCCATCAACTGAAGGCACTCCAGTGAGATCCTTGATCAATTGGAGCCAAACCTCAACCAATCAAGGTGTGTGTAGGGAGTTGTAGATTGATAAAAAATGTTTGGACAATCTAGAGTCAAAACAGTTCCAGAAATTACAAGTTTTTAGATCGACATTGAATCCTATTTTAGTTTTGTGGACTTCGAAAAGTCTATAAACTCCCAAAGACCTTATTTTACATATACATTCGAGCATAAGAGAGTTATATGCGCATCAAGAGAGATATCTTGAGAGATTTTTTACACATATTTTGAGAAATTACTAAAATCAGTTTCTGGATCATCAAGGTTTTCTTGGATCTTGGATTGATGATTGCTTAAAGAACGATTAGCAGTGGTGTTTACCATCACATTTTTAGAGAATTGTGAATAATTGTGCTTTTGTTGCCTGGGAAGGCAGTTCTTAAAAGAGCCAATGGGTTTCTTTCCTGCAAGGGAGTCATGGAAGAATGTTTGGTGCCTGTTAGTGATCACTGTGGAGAAAAAGTGGTTCGTTTCCAGATAGAGCTACTAGACTTGTTATGACAAGTGGAACCAGATGTAAGTCTCTAGTGAGAGGTAAATTAAAGCTGGTGATTCTTTGGGGTAAGAGTTTGTAACCGTAAGGTAAATGTTGTACTTCTTTTTTTGCGTCTTGGATGTGTTAGCACTTAATAAGGTCGTGGTTTTCCAGTTTTGATTATCCATGAAAAAATTCGGGTGTCTCTTTTGTGTGGGGTGTACTTGCTTGCTTTTGGTTGCATGGTTAGGTTGATGATTGGATATTGAATGGTTTGTTGCGATCAAAGGTTAAAATTGGACATTGAATGATTTTCGAAAAAACAGACACAAAGAGGCCTCTACCTTCCCCTGGGTGGGTGTCCTGCTCCTGCTTGGCGGGGATCATGGTGTGTCCAATGGCATATCTAAGGACTTCCGCTACAAAACTATCGTGGCTATGTATAAGCAGTATTTGTGAACAGGGGAGAGGGAGAAACCACAGGGAAAAAGGGGACGTGACTCCCAAACAAGGTTGGTGGAATCATGAAGGTTAGATCTAGGAGAATATATCCACCTCTGATGGGGCATAACATTTGTCTGGCCCAGCTGGAGTTCTTTGTTACCCCCAATGGTTTATTTGATAGACTTTTGCTGAGATTTTAAATTATAACGGAGAAATGATTTCATTTGTGATGCTTGAAATTTTAGAATGAGCAAATGACAATGGTAGAAGGCCTTGCTGCTATATACGGGCAGTGTAAGTTGATCTTGTCTTTGAGGTAGAGAGAAAAGGACCAAAGACTGGTTGTATCTTCTGTGTGCAATGTGCATGCTTCAAACTTGCCCGCATATTGTTATCAAGCATTCAACTCAACCAAGATTTACAGAAATCCTTTCTTTTATTTATTTATTTATTTGTAAAATAAATAAACTATAGATTTAAAATTGGGCACTGTTTTTGTTGGCATTTGAAAGTTCTTTCTTGGTTTTTAGAGTGGAATTTCCCCCTTTGTGGATGCTATGCAACGCATCTTAGCTCTAGATATTTTTAGTCTAACAGGACTTGCGATTGGTTTGATTTCATTAGAAATGTTAGTTAAGCTCTTAAAGCACGTATCTTGACTGCACTTTTCTGAAATTATTCCTGGAACAGTATCGGCAGATGAGACGGAAAGAACAAGACCGGCTTGCAAGGATGGATGTTGACCACCAGAGGAGGAAAGAACTGGCAGAATTTAATATGCGAAGGGAGGAAAGACTGAAAGCTGCAGAGGAACGAACAGCAAAGAAACGTTTGAAACGCCAGAACAAAAAACAGAGGAAGAAAGAAAAGAGGACCAAAGTGAATGCCAGCGATGAACAGCATCAAAACGAAGAAAAACCTTCAGATGACAATGGGGACTCTGATAATGGTGAAGCAGTGAATTGAACGAGATTTGACCGACACTTTTTCTCCCAACCTTTTGTTCATACTTGGGATTGCAAGGACAATTTCCATGTTGAGCAAATGAGACAAACCATTCTTCAGTTTCTGTATTCTGGTAGGCGTTTTCCTTGCATGTATTTTGTGAAAATTGCTCAAGAGATACAGGGAAAATGGAATGGTTTATTCGAAATAGTGATAGTTTATTTTCTATTTTCTAGATCACAAATGCATGATTGTACTGATCTTATAGCATATACCTACAGGATACACCTACTGATTTTCTGGTTTATATATATATATATATATATATATACACACACGTCGCATGGTCTTCTTCGTTACACTCTTCGCATATTGGATACAGACCAGAGATACGCCTCCCTTTCGGTAGCCTGTTTCTCGTTCTTCTTTCTAAACATTTCTTTCTCAAATCCTGGAAGATTCATAACAACACAAACTAGTTAAACGGCTAATATAAATACAATTTAGAACAGCTTATTTATAGTTCTTGATGAAAGTGAAACGTAGGATTGAACTTGAAGTAAACCAACGTACCGTTACTGCGATCAACGCCATCCCAGTGTCTCCCTGGTTTGATGCCATAGCGGTTGGGTGCAGCAGCATCGAAGCCACTTTGAATCCAGCTATGTCTGGGAATGTCCTCAGGAATTATAAACCCGAATTCTTTCATCTTCTTGTTATCTCCAACCATTTGCGTTTTAGAATTTAAATTTGGAAGATTAGGCTCCGAACTAGAGAGAATAAGAACAATTGTAGAGAGAGAAAGTTTGAGAACATCTATGAATTCTTGAGTATCCTCGTGTTAGAGGGTTAGATAAATAAGACTCCAATTCCTTGCGGGACTTGCAGCACAAGTTTACCTTAGAAGGATTAATGGGCCTATTTATTGTTCAGCTTCCAACAGGCTAATTAGAGTACCAATCAAAACTATAAATAAAACAATTTAATCTTAACTACTACGTATTTGTTAATTCCACTATATAAAAATAAGGAATAACTAATACATACGACAATAAATAGTAGGACCATAATTTATATTACTATAATAACCCAAAACACAACTGTTATAACATAAAATAAATCTAAGATATGTCCCACCATGCTTTTACATAATACTATTAAATATACTAACCTTTAAAAAGTTATCCTGCAGAGTCATCCAGCGAATTTTAAAAGCTATTGCATTTTTTTTTCTTCCAAAAAATAGTCTTTGCAAATCTTTCACGTCATTTTTTATTTTTATTTTATTTTATTTTATTATTATTTAAAAGAGCCGTTTCAACTTGCCATGGCTCTTTCCTTCTTTGGAATATATGTACTCTAAAAAAAAAAAAAAAATAGACATTGCAGCTCTTTGACATCATTTCTATTTTTTTTTAAGTTGCAACGGCTTTTGTCTTTTTTTGAAACATATATATATATACTAGTAAAATGCACGTGCGATGCACGTATTAAATGTTTTGTAACTTATTAATATATTCGTTGTATGATATTGTCGGATATTAAATAAATTTTTATCAACAATATTTAGAGTGTATTAATTGTCATCTCAATGAATTCCTAAACTATAACTCTTTGAATATAAAAGTATTCATATGAACAACGTTTAGAGAGTAATAATTGTCACTTTAAAAGAAACAAAATAAGGTTTTTCATTAATGAATGAATGAAAAGTATAAATATTTTAAAAAATATATGAAAATTAAAATTCTATAATTTAAAAAAGAATCATAAATAAATACTATATAAAAATTCTATATATTATAAAATCCGAAAGAGTACCAACAATGTTTGCATTGTAATAATTGTCACCTCAAAAGAAACAAAATATATTAGAAAATTTAAAACTATGACTGTTTGAAAATAAAAGTATTCCTAAATTATTTATTTCTCAATCTTTATCTTTTTTGCGTATCTCATTTCTTCATGAAATGAATCATTGTCAAGTGTCAATTCTTTTAATTCTTCCACCGCAAAATAAGTTTTTACGACTTGTTGTTGAGTATTGTCTATCTTCACCAGAAAAAAAAAAAAAAAAAAAAGGTTTCCCTTTGCAGCTTGTCACTTTGTTGTTAAATTCATCCATGTCATGCAAAAATAAGAAATATAATTTAGAGCTATTGAGAAATTCAAGTAAGTATTTTTTTTTTTTTAATTTAATTAAAATTTTATGAATAAAGGTCGAAAATTACCTCAATTTGTAATTGTAGTAAATCATCTAGTGAACAATTTATTAATGTTTGGCAATCATTGAACACTGTTAGGGTTGCAAGTGTTGCAATATGTTCCATACTTCGCATTTTAATTATCATCATGAATCTACATATGAGTAAAGATAAAGAATTGTGTATTTGTAATATTATTAAACCATTGAAATAAATACAATAATAAGGTTTTATGATATAATAAAACTTTTGAATGCATTTTGAGTCTGTTGTGTTGCATCGAGGACAATATACTCTATCTTTTTCAACTTTTATTTTCTTATTGCATTTCTCACAGGCATTGTACGACGGTTTGCGATCATTAACGACATTTTCAATTGTTGCTTCGAAACAACAATTTGTTTTCTGCAGATTGTACAACAAAATATAACTTCTCGATATATGAATTGAATATAAAAATGTGATATACAATTAAGAAAGATTAAGAAATATACTGAAATTTAATATCTCAAATGACATTGTAGATTTTCCTATTATGTCTTGAAGTTTGACTTTTTTAGCACCATTGAATTTTTGATCTTTTGTACTAGAAATCAAACTTTTTATATCTTTGTTATTTATGTTCTCTTTGGACCTGTCCACGTATAAATTATCTTGTAAAATAATTAAATAAATAAAACTAAAAAACATGTTATCTTTCTACAAATAGTGTATATTTTGCACCAAGAAGTCTGCAATATAAAAATATAAAAACAAATATCATATGGCATATATGTTTAGTTATATATGAACATGCTCAAAGAAAAAGATTACATATAACTTTATGAATATATATATATATATATATATATATATATATATATAATGTAATAAATAACGAACCAATGTCTTAATGCTTTGACACTTTCAATATCGATATTGATTTGCAATGTAGATTCTTTTTGAAGAGACAGACCTGGAATATAACGTTATTATTTGTAAAAGTTTGTTATTATAGATTTACTTAATAATATATAATGTAAATAATATCAATTTGTATGATAATTTACCTTTGTAGGTGTTGCTTGCCACATGTGTAATTGTGATAATAGGTCTTTCCTGTATTAGTTCCATGATAAAATTTCCTTCATTCTCAGCAAGATCCTCCCATAACGTCAAAGTAGTTATCCTTGAACTATAATAAAGATTAATTACTTTAGTCATTATATTATATTGGCATAATTATGATTGTATATGTAATATAGTAATAACGTACCTCATATCCATTACAATGACTTCCTACTTTTTGGTTGTGCCTTTGTTGTTCTTCTTACATATGTTCAATATAGGAAATATCTCAATAACAATTCCCAAAGCATCTAGCCAGATTAAAAATAAAATAAAAAATAAGAAATTTTAATTTTAATTTTATATATGTACAAGAGAGAACATATATATGGAAAGTTGAGAATTAAACGAAAACTAACCCATATTTTCTTTTGCATTAGTGTACTTGTTCAGCCCCTTGAAGTCCACAAAATTAAAGTTTATTATTTCTAAGCTTACTACTTCAAGCTCTTCAACTTCAATATTAAGGTGTTATTAAGAAACTTCAATTCATACTCCTTGTGCACACTCCTATATATATGATTGACGTCTTTTACAGTTACATTAAAAATTCTGTATGTCTTGTGAAGCAATAGTGAATCACTGAATTGGTGATGAGCTCGTTAAATAAGACACCTTAAATTTATGTTCCTTGAAAGAGTAAAAAAGATGTGTAAATGGATTAATGAGATCATTAAATAACAATGTTGTCATACAAATATAGATGCATTTAATAAAATTAACAGAAATAGCCGATGGTATACTTATATTATCATCCATTAGAACTACTTTCAACATTGTTCCTGATGTGTATTCCTCGATTGCTCTTCAAAGTACAAATACTTTTATTGTCGATTCTGTTTTTAAATTAATAAGTGAATTTATTAAGTCAAAGCTTTGGTGACCTTTCTTCATTTTCATAATTTTTTCTGCATGATTAAAAGAAAAAAGAATTAAGGTTAAAGAAATTAAAATTAAAATTGTGAAATAAGAATGATCGAGTATCAAAATAGAAATGAAAAAATATATATACACATCAATAGTAAGTTAAATCGAAGTTAATATTTTTTTATGTTTTTCAAAGAATAAAATTGTGAGTGAAAGATTTAAATATTGTAATAATTGGTAGCGAATGTGGGATATATTTACCTTTCGAATAATGCAAAATAATTTTGGAATGGAAAGGCATGGATATTAATGTGGGTGTATCCTTACCTTTCAGACTGAAGAACCTCCTTATAGACAACATTTTTAGTGTATGTACCACTTCTAATGTTTGTTTGATCCTTCTTAACAAGTACTTTAGTAGTTGACATTGAAGTTCCTCTAGATAGTGCGACATATAATTGTCCATGGGAGAACACGTGCTCAGGTAGAAAAACTCCAACATAAGGAATTGTTTGCCCTGTGCCTTATTTATTGTCATTGCAAAACTCAACCGGATTAGAAATTATTTTCGTGTAAAATGGAAAGGCGTAGCTTCATTCTCTACCGGGCATAGGAGTATTCTTGGAATCAGTATTTGTTTTCCAGCATGTTGTCCATGGCTAATTTCTGCATTGATCGTATTGGCCTTTGTTCCATGACAGATGAGCCTGGTACCATTACACAATCCATTTGTCGGATCCAAATTTCTCAGCAACATTATAGGACAATCGACTTTCAACGTTAACTTATGTAGCGGGAGGCCATTTGGAGCCAATGAATTAAGGAAATCTTCTTGGTAATAGGTCTCCATATCATCAGTAAACCGTGGGATATAATAATTAATGAGAGCTCTTTATTGTGAATTAAACTTTTTTTATATTTTGTTAATTTGAATTTTATTAGGTAATTTTGAATTTTATAGAATTTATATCACTTAATAAATAAATACTAAAACTCTTTGCACAAAGGCTGAGAAAGTAGTACAACACTTGATCTTAGTCAAAAGACCAA